AATTCATTGTAAAAGACAAAACCGGTCTTACACAAGCACGACCCATCTGAGTGCTGGAACGCACGGTTTTTGCCTATGCAGGTACAAGAGGACGCCCCTATGAAAAGAAACAACATTACATGCTATGGTTTGTTTTTTAAGAGTATAAAGGGTCATTGATTTTGTAATCATGTAATCAATAAAAATAGTTGTAGTATAGTAGTAGTGAAAAATGTATATGATTTAAATACAAGTATTTCATTTTTGGAATCTGATTGCGTAATCCAGAAGACATACAGGGCCAGATTTACTAACAGCTTGCGCCAGCGCGAACCATCTTTTGGCATTAAAATAGTACTGTCAGGATTTACTAAAGACACTCAATGAAGAATTAGCACCGAAAAGGCATGAACATAGTTAGTTTTGCGCCTGACCTTATTGAATACGCAAAATTTATGGGAGTAGAGTATTAAAATTAATCATGCAACATTTGCGCTCGTCAAATTACTGGTATTTGCACCACTATTTAACGCCCATAAAAGCATGTCTTAAAGCAGGTGGTAATTTGCACTGCTCTTGGTAGATTGCGCTGGCCATTATGGAAATGATCTAGCTGCGTCTGTGTTCTTTAATGTGAGCATTGTTATTAAATCACCCGCAAAATTTTTCCCTCCCATCGGCTCCCTAACCCTAACCCTCTAACGCTAATTTGCCCTGTTTAGTAAAACTGGCTCCTAATCTGTTATTACCCAGCACTGCCTGCATTTTGCATTTTTAAAGGCAAAAACACATTCTGTGTGAATGGCCCCTAAGGATAAAGAAAGTGTCTTAAAAACACACTCTGACCTGCATCTGAGGTGGACGAACTCCCACAGGGGAAACAGGCTCTCTGGGCGTGCAAGTGATTGAAGGTCTCTGGTGGGCATTTGTGACATTCCTCAAGTGATTCAGCACTAGTGCAGTTTCCATATGAGCCAGGCGGGCAGGGAACAGGATCGGAGCTGCCTTGTGGACAAAAGTAACCGACTGGACAGGGTTGATCACTATAATGGTGTGAGCCTAGTAAACAGATCATTGAAATATTAAACATAATCAATCAGCGCTGCTATTGTTTGCATTATGGGAGCTCTTCAGTGCTGACCAGGAGGGCAGTGATGTCCTGGAGGGCAGAGGAGGCACTGGAGGTGAGGGGAGCGACTGGGCCGATAGGTGCCGGCCCCACACAGCACACAGCTACTCTTCTGAGACTTCCTCAACGCGCTGGTGTTCAGCGGCATCCAGCCATCCGGACAGGACAGCATGGTAGAGCTGTTGGCTGGGCAGTAATGTGGAAAAGTACATCTGCAAAAATAATTTTCTCTTAATCATATTTATATTTAAATTAATATAAGTGAGTGATAGGAAAAGTAAAAATAGAGGAAAGGAATATCACAATTAATATCCAATATTGAAAAACCTCTCATTGCAATATATTATACATCCCTAGTAGGTTGGTGCTTACACTTGCTGTGGTGAGCTGTAGGTGAGAGATCCTTCAGGACAGTAGTATCCTGCAGGACATGGTGTGGGATCTCCTGTCTGGGGTCTACGGTATGAACCAGCTCTGCAAGGGGTCTCTGTGACTGAACCTGTATGATGGATCACTTTATTACACTTCACGGTTATAATATGTTCCATTTATACACCTTTTAGTGCATTTGTAAATATCAATCATGTAGAAATCACAACTACCTGCAGGACATTCGTAAGAAGCTCGACATGGGATGCCTGCTGTATTAGGCTGGCCCGTGGTGCGAGAGTCTGGGCAGTAGGTACCAGGAGGGCAAGGCTCACACTAACTGACAGCAGCTGCCCCTGCCTGTGCCCTCATGGTGCCTGCAGGGCAGGGCACGGGGAAACCTGTCCCACTGCACCAATGACCCGGTGGACAAAGGAAGCTTGAGAAATCAGTGAGCCCTAGGGAGACGGTTATAAAAACAAAGTTTACTGATGACAGGAACACAAAGATGTAAATTAATGTAAATCATCATTCTGTCCAAGAAATGAAGCAAGTATATGATTATCTATAGTATGTTATATAAGATACGCTACTGTTCAACATTTTGGGGTCAGTAGGATTTTTTTATATTTTTGAAAGAAGTCTCTTATGCTCACCAAGGCTGCTTATATTTGATAAAAAATACAGTGAAACGCATGATGTTGTTAAATATTACTATGATTTAAAATAACTGTATTCCATTTTTAAATACTTTAAAATTAATTTTTTTCTTGTGATGTAACACTTTTCAGCAGCCATTACTCCAGTCTTTATTGTCATATGAAATTATTCTAATATGCTGATTTGATGCTCAAGGAACATTTCTCATTATTATCAATGTTGAAAACAGTTTGAAAACTGCTTATTTTTGTTAAATTGATGCATTTTCAGGATTCTTTAATAAATTAAAGTTCAAAAGAACAGCATTTATTTGAAAAAGAAAACCTTTGTAACAATGTAGAAGTCCTTATTGTCACTTTTGATCAATTTAATGCTGAATTTTTTTTTTATAATCATTTTACTGACCATAACTTTTTAACTGTACATAAATTTATGATTATATATACTATTGCAGTGTTTCTCAACTGGTGGGTCGCGACCCAAAAGTGGGTCGCAAGACCATTCTGAGTGGGTCGCGGAGTGTACAGTTAAAGTGCCCCTATTATGCCATTTCCAATATTGCCTTTCATGCAGTGTATAATGTAACTGTATGTGAATGTAAACGATCTGCGAACAACTTGAACCTGCCCACAAACACGTCATTCTACTGACAACTGCTTCTCTAATCTCGGGGAGTTCAACGTGGGATTCACAAAACGCTTGCTGTTGAAAGATGGATCAGTATCCTGTTTATTTGGACCAGCTGCTCCACTGAATCACAACCTGTAAGTATGATAAATAATAGATGTTTATATTTTCTATACTGTAGAGCACTCAAAATACAGAACTATTGAAATAGGCGTATCGTTCCTGAAACGCACTGTATGCCGTAGACCAATCACAACAGACTAGGCCATCTGACCAATAAGAGCAGAGCATGCTCACGGAAAGGAGGGGTTTAGAGAGACTGAATCTTTGAACTGCTTCGAACGAATCGTTTGAGAATCGCTGGAAAATGAGGTGATATTAAATGCGTTTTTTGACCTTGCATGCATGTAATCCTATTGTAGGAGACTCCCAAAATAATATTAGGAACCGTAAAAATGGCATAATAGGGGCACTTTAAAGAAAGAACACCAACAAGAAAAAAACGTAATTATCAAGCGTAGCGTTAGTTCTGGCAGGTCACGTTAGTCAAGCTCGCATCAGCTGACTCTCAGCTGATCCCCATCTACCTATAGGAATACGACACCTATCTAAGCATTCATATATAAGGTCCCTCAGTATTATCAGCAGTTTTCGCATTGCTCAATAGCTAATTACCCTCCTCCATCCCCAGCTCCGCCTCTGTCAGTCGGGATTCAGCCTTCTGACTCTCCTTTGAATCAGACTAATTCTAAAATGTGTACATAAAATGATTGAACTTTAACGATATCTGTTGTAGTCTACTCTACCAGGATCAGGAAACAGTCCTCCATAAAATGTGCTGCACACATCTGAATATTTGGGTTGAACTGTTCTGGAACAGTGTTGTAAATACAACTTAACCACTGATTTCTAGTCGTGTCCTCTTTTGGAAGGCCAAACAAAGTAGTTTCGCTTTCACAATGAAACACAGCGTCACACACAGCGGGCTAGAGTGAGCGGAGGCCGGAGGCCGGAGGCCTAGAGTTAGCAGAGGCTGGCTTGAGTGAGCGGTGGCGGGCGGGCTTGCGGCAACCATATGTGACGACCCCGGGCTGGACTCCGCTTCGTCCACGGTGAAAGCCGATCCGGCGATCCACAGCGCGAAGTTGATGTATTTCCTCAGCGACCAGCACGGATCAGCTCCAGGCATGACGAAGCGGATTTCGTCCTCTTTTGGAAGGCCAAACAAAGTAGTTTCACTTTCACAAAGTGTCCGGCGGGCTTGCGGCAACCACATGTGACGACCCCGGGCTGGACTCCGCTTCGTCCATGGTGAAAGCCGATCCACAGCGTGAAGTTGATGTATTTCATTAGCGACCAGCACGGATCAGCTCCAGGCATGACGAAGCGGATATCATCCTCTTTTGGAAGGCCAAACAAAGTAGTTTCGCTTTCACAACGAAACACACAGCGCCTTCACATGGCGGTGGCGGCAACAATACTACAGTGAGAATAAAAGTTACGCCTTCTTTCTTTGCAAATCTTCCCACATCGTGACGTAGACATGTGGGGGCGTGTTAGAACGATCACATAACTGGTAAGCTGGGAAGGATTTGCATGAAGGTATGATATTCATTCTATTCAGGAGCAGTTTCCATGTTTCATGTTAGTATTGTGTATTCACCATGGTAAAAATTTAAGTGAAATAATTTTGCTTTTACATATATCTCCTAAAAATGTGGGTCGCGGCTTGATGACCATGGGAAAATGTGGGTCCTATGGCCAAGCCATTTGAGAACCACTGTACTATAATATGTTCTACATGGTATGTCAGACCTGTGGAGTTACAAAAAGTGCCAGGGGGGCAGGTAAGACAGTCTCCTTTGCTTCCTGCCCCAGACGTGGGCCTGTATGTAAACAGGGGACATTCTCTAGGCCCCGGCCGCCCCTCAGACTCATAATCAGCTATGCTGTCACAGTAATAGCCTGGTGGACACATGCGTGGGATGGGATCACCTGTAAAAAGACAGAAAGCGAAATAATGCTTCATTTTTTTATTCAGATGGATGTAACAAGCTACTATACTAAGTATACAATACTATATGGACATTTGTCAGAAATTCATTGAACAATTGGACATAATATTTACACATAGCACATGCAAATTCCAGTATAGCAATTGACGTACCCTCTTGGCACCAGTGTCTTGGAGGACAAGGCAGACAGTCATGTATAGTACTTGCTCCAGGGGTTTCTCTTATAGTGTTGGCAGGACAAGATAAAGGTTCCTCTGTGCCTTCAGGGCAATAAAAGCCTGTCCAAACACAGGAGCAGGAGTAAACACACTCTGTGACAGTGTGAACATCTCTTGATATTCGGATCATATAAAACAGATCTTTGATCACTTTGTTAATGTATCAAGGCTCTCTTCTCTGGATTCATGGAAGGGTTTATAGGAAGATGAATAACGTACCAGCAGGACACAGTCCAGTACACTGTGCTCCCCACTCACACTGGTCTCTGTTGAGAAGAAAGGCGGCTTGAGGAGTGAACTCTGAACTGCCAGAGATGCACAGGAATCCAGCAGCGCACAGGCCTTTCACCTGGCCAGCCCTGAATAATAATAATGAGACACAAAATCCCAATAACTGAATTGTCATTATTTTCAGAAAAAAATGTGATGCATGTACACTGCCATTTTTGGGATCACTGCCATTTTTTATTATTGTTTTATTCAGCAAGGCCACATAAATTTGATCAAAAGTGACAGGAAATTCATGCATAATGATATACAAAAAAAAATCTATTTCAAAGAAATGCTGTTGTTTTAAACTCCATATAATATAAGCATACAGTGACAAGGGGTTTTCATGGTTGAACATACTATACAAAAGATTTTTTAAGTATTATTTTAGATTAGTTTTTAAAGGTTTTATAAAAGTATTATTAATACTTTTATTAAGGGGGGATGCATTAAAAAAAAGCAATTTATTATGTTACAAAAATTTCAAATAAATGCAGTTCTTCTGAAATTTCTATTCATTAAAGAATCCTGAAAAAAATGTAAGCTTACAATGTAAAATTACATTTTCCACAAAAACATTAACCAGCACAACTGGTTACAAATGTTTTCAACATTGATAATAATAAGAAATGTTTCTTTAGCATCAAACGTCTCGGTTACGTATGGTAACCCTTGTTCCCTGATGGAGGGAACAGAGATGTTGTGTCGAGTGTATAACACTAGGGGTCGCTCTTGGGAGCCCAAACACCTCTGACATCTTTGAGAAAAGGCCAATGAAATTGGGTGTGCAGAATTTGCATGGCTGGCCACGCCCCGGACATCTGGGTATAAATAGGCCAGCATAGCATCTGCTCACTCGTTCTGTTCTGATTAGTCGAGAAGTGTCACAACCCACTCAGAGGCAATTCGGAGTTGTGGCATGAAGGACATAACGTCTCCGTTCCCTCCATCAGGGAACGAGGGTTACCATACGTAACCGAGACTTCGACGTTGTGTTGAGTGTACAACACTAGGGGTCCCTATACTAAACGCCACAACTGCCGAAATGCGTCACGAGTCCACGGGGCACAGATGTCGACAAGCCAGCGTGTCACAACCAAATGCACCTCTCCTCCTCGTAACCTTCCAACGCCCAAGACTTAAGACGTCACTCTCCAACATCCGGGAGAGTTGCCATAGAGGCTGATGTCCCCTCAGCCGGAATCTTTTCCCATAATAATACTCACCATAATAAACAGCTAAAAAGTCTTGGTAGTAACGTTGGGACAGTGACTATTTCCCCCAGAGGAAAAAGGCACTACGGAGATCACATCCTACCCGATGGGGAGGTAACATGTGAAGATCCACCTATGGACTTACAGAGGAAGTACCTCATAGGGATGGTACTGAGGTGGGCTCCATGTAAGGGGAGATCTACCAAAACCCAGAACCTATCGACAGAATGTCTGTCTAGGGGAACACTGAGCCTCAAGGGCAATACAGTGGAGAATACACACATGGGGACTCAAGAGGAGCCGCTACATGTGGAGCACTAACCCAATACAAGAGTTCACTCGAGGGAACCTACCACATAATGAGTTCTAATAGCAAGTTCCTCCGTCGAATTTCGCTACGTAAAGTGCTTATGTGATGGAAGGGTAGTCCAGAGTTCATGAAAGGAACCTGAGCTGGACTGAATAAGCGCATAAACACCCTAGGGGGGAGCGGCGCTGGTAGCAAGCTCTACACCCTGCCAGTCTCCTGAGTCGAAGAACTGACGTTCAGGACTCTAGAAGAAACTGGTTCCATTCGCAGATTATAAAATCTAGCAAATGTATTAGGCGTAGCCCAACCTGCAGCTCTACAGATATCCGCTAGAGAGGCCCAGTTCGCCAGGGCTGCTAATGCAGCCATGCCTCTGGTAGAGTGAGCCCTCACTCCCAGTGGGCAAGGTAGGCCTCTGGCTTAATAGGCCATTCGGATCGCATCCATAATCCAGTGGGAGATCCTCTGTCTAGAGACAGCATTCCCCTTCTGCTGTCCTCCGAAGCAGATAAAGAGCTGTTCAGAGCGTCTGAAACTCTGAGTGCGATCTAGGTATGTGCGTAGGGCTCGTATTCAGTGCTGAAGTGGTCTCATATGCATCAGTCCCAGTGGCGTGACTGCGGCTGAGGACGCCATATGCCCCAGAAGCCTCTGAACGTTTTTGAAAGGGACCGCCGTTCTCTGCTTGAGAGCCCTCAAGCATTTCAGCACCGACTGAGCACGATCCTGAGAGAGGTGTGCAGTCATCGTAACCAAGTCCAATTCTATGCTGAGAAAATAAATACTCTGCACAGGGGAGAGCTTGCTCTTTTCCCAGTTGACCCAAAGTCCCAATCAGGCTAGGTGGTCGAGGACCATGTCCCTATGTGCGCAAACCAATTCTCGCGAGTGAGCTCGGATCAGCCAGTCGTCGAGGTAATTGAGAATGCAAATGCCCACTTCCTTGAGAGGGGCAAGGGCAGTCTCTGCGATCTTCATAAAGACGCGAGGAGACAGGGACAGCCCGAAGGGAAGAACCTTGTACTGATATGCCCGTCCTTCGAAGGCAAACTGAAGAAACGGCCTGTGCCTTGGTAGGATTAAGACATGAAAGTACGCATCCTTCAGGTCTATTGCCACAAACAAATCCTGATCTCTGACACATGTTAATATGTGCTTGAGGGTTAACATGCTGAACGGAAGCTTGTGAAGGGCCCGGTTCAGAGTCCTCAAATCCAGGATTGGTCTGAGCCCCCACCCTTCTTGGGTACAATGAAGTACGGGCTGTATAACCCCTTCTTCATTTCGGCCAGGGGAACAGGCTCGATTGCACCCTTCTTGAGAAGGGTTGCGACCTCCGCTCGAAGAACAGCAGCATTCTTGCCTCGTACTGAGGTAAACAGAATGCCCCTGAACTTGGGCAGGCGCCTGGCGAACTGAATCGCATAGCCGAGCCGAATGGTTCTGAGGAGCCATCGGGAGGGATTGGAGAGGCTTGACCAAGCATCCAGATACCCTGCCAACGGTCTCAAAGGAACCATGTTTGATGTACCTCGGGCAGGGTTCCTGTGGCTGAGCGGAATGGAAGGCACTGTGGTAGGAAGTGAATTGTCCTGTGAAACACACAGCACCTTGTCCGCAGGGTCTGTCACATGTGCCACCGACGGATGAGGGAACATGAGTTCGCCAGCATGCATCGTGTTGGCTGAGTGATAGACCTTTTGCATCTGAACGTGAGGAGACAGAGTGTCTGTGTCAAGAAAAGAAAGCGTCAAGAAAGCGTACTTTCTCGGCTTCCCGCATCTCAGCCAGGTTGAGCCACAGGTGGTGTTCCTGGACCACTAAAGTGGACATCGCCCTCCCCAGAGCCTGTGCCGTGACCTTCGTAGCCCCAAGGGCATTGTCAGTCACTGAGCGCAGTTCCTGCAGTACCTCTGGGTTGGGACCACCCTCGTGCAGTTCTTTCAACGCCTTGGACTGGTAGACCTGCAGGATGGCCATGGCATGCAGGGCGGACTCAGCTTGTCCAGAAGCCGAATAAGCCTTCGCCACCCGGGACGAAGAGAACTTACAGATCCTGGACGGGAGTCTCGGGCGACCCCGCCAGGTGGCGGCATTTTGCGGGCAAAGATGCACCGCAATTGCTCTCTCCAACTGGGGAACCTCCGTATACCCCCTCGCTGGACCCCCATCGAGGGTGGTGAGGGCAGAGGAGCCGTTGTATTGTGTTCTGGACGAAAAAGGGGCCTTCCACGATTTCGTCAGCTCCTTGTGCACTTCTGGGAAGAAAGGCACCGGGGCCGAGCGTGGCTTAGTGTCGCGCTCAGCAGCCAGAATCCAATCGTCCAGCCGCAAGCGCTCGGGGCAGGGTGGGGGAGACGATGCTCTTGGCTGCCCGGGCAAGCACAGCTGCCATCTCAGCATCAGCCTCAGACTGAGGCTCAGCGCCTCTCAGACGAGCTCTCAAACTCATCCGGAAACTCGACCGTTAAAACACAAAGCAAGGGAAGAACGGGAAGCTCACAGGGATTGCTCCGGCGAAACTGATCCCGCATCCCCATGCTTTTCCGTGGTGCACATTGCTGCGGCCTCGTACCAAGAGGTAAAAGGACCAGAGCGGCAAGCAGCCGCGGTGACTCTGGGTCTTTTGACGAAGAACCCAAGCCGCGAGCGCAACATGCTGATGGGAAGTGCCTCGCAAGCGGGGCACGAACCATCCACAAGCGCTGCCTCAGCGTGAGCACGGCCCAAACACTGAATACAACACTCGTGCCGGTCGTCTTTCGAGACGTGCCAACCAAAACCAGAAACACACGGACAGAAAGGCATGATGTAACGCACAATTCCACCTGTGTAGCTCTCAGAGAAATTGCACTCTTTTAGAGGAAATTTGCTCTTTAAAGATCACTGTTGAAGCACCCAGGGGTATTCTCACAACGCTTATCTGTGTATGAGTAGGAAGAGACCACTGACCGTGCCTTAGATCCAACGACGAGGAATCGAGAGGTGAATAATCGCAACTTCTCAGTGAGAGACGCTGCATTCGGCTCCGAAAAACAGAACTAGTGAGCAGATGCTATGCTGGTCTATTTATACCCAGATGTCCGGGGCATGGCCAGTCATGCAAATTCTGCACACCCAATTTCATTGGCCTTTTCTCAAAGATGTCAGAGGTGTTTGGGCTCCCAAGAGTGACCCCTAGTGTTGTACACTCGACACAACTTCGAAGTGAACGACAGAAAGGGAACTCATCTTTGCCACCACAGGAATAAATTTTTTTATAATTTATTTTATTTTAAAATATATTATAACAGCTATTCTAAATTGTAATAAATATTACAGTTTTACTGTATTTTGACCAAATAAATGCCTTGGTGAGCATAAGAGACTTCGTTCAAAGACATTAAAAATCTTACTAACCCAAACATCTGAATAGTAGCATACAAATAAATAATAAAATAAGAGAGAGTGTGTAAAGTTTAAGTTTATTTTCTAAAAGTCTACAAGGTCATAAGTGTCCATGGTTGAAGAAACACTCTTATAAGATCTGTAAACATACTTGCAGAACTTTCCTGGTGGACACGGCAAACACTCTCTCTCCTCCTGCAAACCCCCGACCTCAAGTGGGGTGTATGTGCCATTGGGACAGGGCTGAGGAACCATTGTTGCTGCAATTACAAGCAGAATCAGATACTGTGCGTGTACTAATGACACCACAGACACAATATAGAGAGTTACAGCAGCATGGGTTACCTGCAGGGCAGTAGGAGTGTGGCGGGCAAGGCCGGGGATCTCCGATAATTGCCTCCTCACAGTAATAGCCTGGACGGCAGGGGATGCAGTTATCCGAGCCCGGATTCGGCTGGTACTGTCCCGTGGGGCAGGGCAAGGCCAGGGCTGAGCCCAAGGGACAGTAATGACCCTGAGAGAGCAAAACCTGTCAGTCAGGTTGCTAGGCACAGATTAAAAAGCGATAGAGGGGTGTGAAGGAGGCAGAACTGACCTTGGGGCAGAGGAAGGCATGCGGAGTGGTGGAGGAGAAGTCTACGGGGCAGTAAAAGCCTGCAGCACAGGGTCCAGTTGGAGCATCCAGGCCCTCGCTAGCACAGTAATGCCCTGCTGGACAGGGAAGACAGCTTTCTATGGAGTAACCCCCTGTGGGCAGATCAATATTATTAACAAAAAACACTGCTTGTTAGTAAATAAAGAACGTAAATATAAAATATTAATGTGCAAAAGGTTCCAGAGAATATGGAAAGGGCAATATTTAGAAGCGTGTGAATTATTTAAAAGTATAGTGCTAGAGTGAATTTATAAGAACAACTAAAGCTGAATCTGTGCAATATTACTTATGCACCAGTGCATTTAAGCCACACAGCGTATTGGATTTGATAGCTTATTTATTTTGATGCGCTATCCCTGGTAAATTATTCATATGCAACTACATGCTGCTCTTGTTGTTTCTGGTTGCGTATAATAACTGCCCTTTTGAACTGCTTTATTGTTTTTCCTTAGAGGCTCTAAATGTTTTATAGATTTATATTAAAATAAATGTGTGGGTCTGTACACACCTGTGAGGTTACGAATGCTGCCTGCTGGGCAAGGCAGAGGCATTAGGGTTCCAGAAGGGCAAAAGTGACCTTGCGGACAGGGGCCATTCCTGAGGTAGCCAGTTATATTCAGAGGAGCAGGATTTGGAGACCCTCCTTGGCAAAAATAACCCTGCTGGCACTGGCCTACAAATAAAACAACAATTAGTCCATATGATACAGTCACAGACTAAAACCTGTGCTCTTATAAAAAAGTGTGGGATGATATCAGACCCTGTGGTTGTGATGTTCCAGGTGAACTGCAGTAGAGGCCAGTAGGGCAGGGCACACAGGCAGCCTCCGACTGAGCCCTGGTAACCTGTCCCAGTGTGCCCACAGGACAGGGTACAGCTGCAGCAGTGCCAACAGGGCAAAAATGACCTGATGCAACACAGGCAAGATGGCAGATTGTTAGCAAACATGATAGTATATACACTACTGTTCAAAGGTTTGGATTCAGTCTTTTTTCTTTTTTTTTTTTTACAAATTAATTCAGATTAATTTTTTTGTTATTCATTTTTTTTAATTGTATTATTTTATTCAGAAAGGACACATACTGTCAAATTGATTAAAAATTACAGGAAAGATATTTATAATTTCATCTTTTATACTTTTTATTCATCAAATGATCTTGACAATAATGTATCATGAAAATGCATCACGGTTTCCATTAAAAAAAATAAAGCAGCACAACTGTTAAGAAGCAATGTTTCTTTAGCAGCAAATCAGCATATTAGAATGATTTCTGAAGGATCATATGACACTGAAGACTGGAGTAATGGCTGCTGAAAATTCAGCTTTGCATCACAGGAATAAATTACATTTTAAAATATATTAAAATAGAAAACAGTTATTTTAATTTCTAATAATTTTCACAATTTTACTGCTTTTACTGATCAAATGAATGCAGCATAAGATACTTTTTTCAAAACCATAAAAGAAATCTTACTGAGTGCAAACTTTTAAATTGCATTGTATGATAGGGGAAAAAGGATTTGCAGCAGAATAGAAAAACGTAATTACTAATGAGCCATCATAATAATCTCAGCACAGGGCTGGACTCACCCATGGGACATGGGGATGGCTCCTGTGTGCCAGGGGAAGGACACATAGTGCCAGCTGGGCATGAGAGACAGTGGGCGGCACCAGGAGCACTGCTGTATGTGCCAGGCTCACAAGGCACTTCCAATGGAGTACCAATGGGGCAACTGTGTCTGCTCGGACAAATATAACCCTGTAGTCCATCTACCGGTCGAGCACTACGACTGCCATTGATACACACATATCTGTGAGGGAGAAATAAAGCTGTCATAAACTATATTTCAAAAGAAAATCATTGTTTTATGAGCATACTCCAGGTTTTAGATGCCTGATGAAAATCTCCTCAACGAGCCAATCACAAAAGCACTTCACTGCCACTCCACTGTATCTGTTTTCCAACCCAGCCACAAATAGATATAATTACCCAGCATCACAGAGAGCTGCTTCTGATGGATACACCATAGCAGTTTGCTCACAGAAGTACCCAGGAGGACACGGTTGACACTGCTCCGCCCCACTCAACCCTGGGGAGCTGGAGAATGTTCCAGCGGGGCATGGGAGAGGAGAGCCGATACCAGTTGGGCAATAATGGCCAAGCGGGCACATGCTGTTGCCTGTAGATTCAATCTGCAAATCACACACTGTAAATGAGTTTAACCCTTTGTGAACACATGGTGTCTTTTTTAAGAAACAGAACTGATGATATATATCACGTTTCCAGTGCCGTTGGGACTTGTGGCACCCCGAAGGGCAGTGAAATCCATCCTGGCAGCGCCCTGTAGGCTCTGAAAGACCATGGCGAGCACAAAACATGCCTAGACAGACAGATTACATAAATTAGATGTAGATGTAAATACAAACTGTTCAAAAGTTTAGGGATAAATTATATCGATATGATAAATTAATGAAATAATGATCTGATTATATAATGTAATAATGATAATTAAGGTTTTCACTAAAAAAGGTATTATAATGTGTAGCTTTTTGGGGGTCTTTGGGTTGGCTAAGTGCCTTTTTGGGGGTCTCTGGGTCTGTAAAGGTTGAAAACCCTTTAATTCATACCATTCAAAAGTTTGGGGTCCATAACATTTTTAAATGTTTTTGAAAGAATGCTCTTATGCTCACTGCCTTTATTTGATAAAACATACAGTAAAGACAGTGAAAATAAGAAATATTTGCAGAAATTAAAATAGCCATTTTCTATTCTATTATATTTTGAAATGTAATTTATTCCTGTGATGCAAAGCTGAATTTTTAGCAGTCATTACTCCAGTCTTTAAAGTCACATGATTCTTCAGAAAGCTATCTAATATACTGATTTCTTATTATTATCATCAATGTCGAAAACAGTTGGCCTGCTTAATATTTTTGTAGAAACTGTGATACATTTTTACAGGATTCTTTGATGGACACAAGTTCAAAAGAAAGGCATTTATGAAACTTCTTTTACTCTTTTACTCTTTTACTATAAATGTCTTTACTCTAATTACTTTTTCATCAATTGAATGCATCCTTGCTGAATAAAAGTAAAACTTATGTCAAAATATTACTGACCCACAAATGTTTGAACAGCAGTCTCTGTATGTAATAACTTTTTTTTGTTGTCATGTATTTTCAGTCTGACCTGCAGGACATTGTAGACATTCATCTATACTGGCTGTCCCAGACTGTGGCTGCATTGTTCCTGGAGGGCAGAGGAACTGAGTGCCCTGTGATGTGCCTGTGGGGCAGAAATGCCCCGGTGGACATGGAAGAGGCTCTGCTACTGCTTCCCCTGCATTGTAATGCAATAGGATCAATTGTAATAGATTTATAAGAGCACAGAGATGGTTTTAAACAAATGTTCTTTTAGACAGAATAAATAACACACCCTGACAGTAGTAGCCTAATAGACATGGCTCACAATTTTCTCGGTGACTGTTGCCCATAACGGAGCTGTAAGTGCCTGCAGTGCAGGCCAGGGGCTTGTGTGTGCCTGTGGGGCAATAGAAACTGGCAGGACAGAGGCTCTGCTCCGGACTGTTGGAGCCCCAGTCACAGTAGTAGCCCGCAGAACATTCACCTACATGGTACAATAGAATTAGACAATAATATAATATGACTCATGGTTGCATCATACAACTCCAAATTCTGGCATAATATCAATGCTTTATCGGTATTGTAATGGTTTTCATCCAGGGGTCTTTGAACTATCCTTTTCCACAAAGGATAAAAAAGCTAATAATTTTCTTTAAAATATTTTGTTACATTTGAATGAAAAAATAGAATCTAGAATATGAAAAATAGGGTTTGTGGGAAATGTGTGGGTATTGTGAGTGAATAGTAAGTGTATGTAAGTGGAATATTAATATTGTGAATTTTGTGTGTGTGTAACTCTGTAAAGTTGATCTGCTCTCTTGACAGTTCAAGACAAATTTCTCATTATGGAAACAATAAAGAAAGAAATTAAATTAAATGAACCATTATGCTCAATCAGATAAGGTTGAAAAGAAAAAGAAAAAAAATTATGTACACTCCCACTATCTGTGAAAACAAATGATTCAAATGAGAGAAAAAGGGCATGCAGAGCATTTTTGTCTTTGAGATAAGTTATATTTATACGATAAATTCATTAAATAATGATCTGATTATATAATGTAATAATGATTTATTTTTAATGATAATTTTTCAATAAAAAGTTCTTATAATATGCAGCTTTTCGGGGCTCCTTGTGTTGTCTGAGAGCCTTTTTGGGGGTCTCTGGGTCAGTAAAGGTTGAATACCCTTATAAAAACCCTTAAGACTCCTCCATAGTGTTGTTATTGTTAACTACAACTAAAATGGTTCATTCATTTAAATGAAGCTGAAATGAAATACATATATTAGATGAATAACTGAAATAAAAATTGATTGTACAAAAAATTGCTAAAACTAAAATGTAAATGAAAGCTAAACACAAATATTTAAAAGCAACAAAAACTAATAAAAAAATGACAAAAGCACATAACAATTACTAAAACTAAAAAAAAAGAAAAAAAAGAAAATACACAAATAAAAGCTTATTAAAAATATTAATAAATAGTACAATATTGTATAAATAATACTAAAATAACACTGTTCCAAAGAGCACCTGCTCTTGTTCCCAGAAGGCAGTATGCCCCTGGTGGACACAAAGTGCCAGTGCTGTTGTCAGTGGGGTTGGGAACTGTGGCCTGCACAAAACAGAGGAATCCAGGGGCACAGGGCCCCCGAGGGCTCAGAGAGTCCATCTGAACCGCAGAAATGTCCCATAGGACACAACAGGCACTGCTCTGCATTTATACAAAAAAAACAGACCCAGTAAGCAAGATATAAACAGAAGAATGCATTTAATCATGTTCACTTGCTCAGTTATTGCAATACAGAACAGAATAAATCACCTGCTGAAATGAGGCCAAGAGAATCACGGTATGTGCCTTTGGGACATGGAACTGGGTTTCCAGACTGAGTCTCATTGGGGCAGTAAAAGCCTTCAGGACAGACCAAAGGAGTGCTGACCCCCATAAAGCCTCTTGTGAGGTTGATGCAATGGAAACCTGGAGGACAGGGTTTACACTCACTCTGTCCCTTCTGATCCTGAAACTGACCTGCGAACAAACAACAACAACAACAACAACAACAATACATAAAAAGACCCATGAGTAGAATCGATTTTGCATTTGACCTCTTCTAGAAATGGTAGCAACTTCCTAACTTCAGTAAATTTCACTTAAATGGAGTCTTATAAAGTCAAAGGAGCAGACAGTATATCTCTAAAATGGAGTATCACAGTACCTCCAGGGCAAGGCATGCAATCATCTGTGCCCTTTCCCCCACTATCAGGGCGCCGGCTGCCCACTGGGCATGGAGTTGGCACAGCACTACCAATTTCACAGTAGTGACCTGGAGGACAAATATCACCATACACGGCTGACACGGGAGCTGAAGTCTGAGATCCTTCACTGCAGTAAAACCCTGTAGGAATACAACGTGCCATATTAATATTCAACTTAAAGAAGTCCTGTGAAGGCCTAAAAAATGTCTGCTGTAAATGATATTCAAACCTGGCAAGCAGGGTCCACTGACTGTGGTCAGGCCTGGCTCTGAGCAATAAAACCCTGGTGTGCAGTTTTGGCATTGACTTACATCTGACAATTGACGCTGATTGCTGCAAAACAATTACATTTTTATTTTTAAAAATTGCAGTTAATAGAATTACAATTTTAATAAAAAATGTGAATTAATTACAATTATTTTAAATATATAATGCAATGCAATTAATGTTCTCCTTTTTAGCTGCTTTTAATATAAAGAATTTTTACATTTTTTCAGTTGTTTTGTATTGTAATGTGTCACATCGATACCTAAATGTGCCCTTGGGACAAGGTATTCCTGCAAAACTTCCAGCTGGACAGTAAGACCCAGTTGCACACGGTATTCCAGTCTCATTATCATTTGGGGAGGGAAGGACGGCTCCTCCAAAACACAAGAATCCAGCACTGCAAGAGCCAGTTGGTGACACATTTCCTGGACAGAGAAACTAATATCAGCTCCACATATCAGACCAAGCATGCAGGATTAGTATGTTCTCTCTGGGGAAAATATAATCATTGTTCATGCGTCATACCTGACCCCATACAATAGGTCCCAGGGTCACATTGAGAGCATTCAGAAGACTCAGCCAATCCAGACAGGTTCCCATAACTCCCTGGAGGACATGGATGCTGATTAGATGCCCCAACTGGACAATAAAATCCAGGCTGACATGGGAGTGGGTGCGTCATACCTAGTACAAGAAAAACATCCTTATGTAAAGGCATAAAGAACACATATATATTTCATCCATTAATTTGTTGAAATATCATTCATACCGTTTTCAGGACAGAAAAAGCAGGCAGGGCACACTTCACATCTATGTTGGCCTAAACTGGGTTGGAAGCTTCCTGGGAAACATGGCCTCTCTATGATGCTGCCCTGTTAGAGCATTAACAATATTATGAGTATGTTTTATAAAGGTCAGTCATTTTTATATTCACTTTTAACATATTAAAGTGCCCCTATTATGCCATTTTTAAGGTTGCTAATATTGTTTTATGAGTCTCCTAAAACAGGTTTACATGCATGCAAGGTCAAAAAACACGTTAGTTTTCTCAAAAATTTGATTTAATTTTACTTCATTTTTAAATGATTCGTAAAAGACTCGTGCAAAGCAGTTCAAAGAATCAGTCTCTCTAAACCCCTCCTTTCCGTGAGCCCTCACTGCTGTGATTGGTCAGATGGCGCAGTCCCTTGTGATTGGTCCAGAGCCGTACAGAGATTGGCTCTGGATTGGTTTACCGCGTACAGCGCGTGTTGGAAACAAAACGCCCATTGCCATGACGGAATGACAGCCCTGGAGACTTGTCAATACATAGAAAAGACAGATGGCGCAGTCCTTTGTGATTGGTCCAGAGCCATAGAGAGATTGGCTCTGGATTGGTCTACCGTGGAAACGAAACGCCCATTGCCATGACAGCCCTGGAGTGGAGACTTGTCAATACATAGAAAAGACGGTTTCGATTGTACCTTACCAATTGGAGCCGGAGTCTGATGATGAAACGGTTGAACTTTCCTGACAGCTCGTTTAGGCGATTGCGAGCCGACTCTTTTTTTTGGCTTCACAACTTTGCAGATAGTTAATGTTCACATACAGCTACATGACACACTGCATGAAAGGTAATATTCGAAAAGGCATAATAGGGGCACTTTAAGAGATTTAAATGCATTAAAAATAACAAATTAGGGAATTAGATTTAAATTAACAAAGTCATTTCACTAAATTCATGCCATTTCACTTTTGTTTTTTTATATACTTTTATAGTGTATTTGTATTATAGAGTCATTCTCAAAAATGTACATTTCAGTCATGAAAATTTTAAATATTAAAGAAATCTCTTGTAAAAGGCACAATTATATAACCTAACTTTTTATTAAAAAATTAAATGGTTTAAATATCAGCCCGGTGCCTTGTTCACTATCTGGTATATAACTTCTATGACTTTTAAGGGTGTGTTTAATGTTTTATTACTCATGTAATTTTTTCCAGGTAAGGCAAGACCTAATAAGTGAGAAAAAATGCAAAACAAAATATTTTAATAATACAGACTTAAAAAAAAGGTTGTTCCTTTATTTCATGTCACTAGTGTCATCAATGTCACAATAAATAATCTAAAAAATAAATGTATTTATAATAAGAATAATATAAATCTAAAAAGTTTGTCCCTGTATTTAATGTAAAAATAAAATAAAATAAAATAATAGTTCAAATGTGTATATGTGAGATTTCCACTTACACTTTCACAGAAGTGGCCTGCACCACACACAAACTCTGGTGGTCTGGATGTGTTCTGTCCTCCAGGGCAGTAATAGCCCTCAGAACACAGACCAGAGGGCTTGGTTAGGCCTCTTCGCTCACAGAAATATCCTGGTGGACATTCAAGGCAATCGTCTGCAATGGATCCTCCAGCAGAGTCTAGTGAGTATTAAAACAGTGGAACCATAAAGCTTCCGGAAAAATTCAAACCATTAAGTGACTCGTACTATAAGAAAGTGATTGATAAGCATCCAGCCACAGCGTTTTAATTGGTTAATGGCAAGTAAAATGTTAATAGGCAATAAAGACAGGGATGCAAAAGTAGGGCCGGCGCCAAAGGGGGTGGGGGGTGACTGCATGAGGGGGCATCGCCCCTCGCTCAGCCTATCCCGCCCCTCACTCAAGATGAGTGTGAAAATAGATTTTAATTACAAAATATAATAGTTTATTTAAAAAAAATGCTGCCAGGTGCATAGGCTTTCTAGCATTAATATTATGCTACTATAGCAACAATTTAGGGCAGTCCGTTTCACAAAGTCACATTTTAATTGTTACATTTGACACACAAACTTCCCGCACAACTAAGTATTCAGCTCTACTAAGTAAGCTAAAGATATGATGAAATAATTTTTTTAATGTTTAATAGAGGGCTAGATTATCGTAGTTAGTTGATTACTTCGCTGTTATTGTTTGTTGCTGTTCAAGTTGTTCTAACTTACCATCAAATAATTGCATCTGTTAAATGGGTCGCAATGAATATGTGTTACGTCATCGGTCGCAATAAGTGTGTGTTTTATAGTAAAGAAGCCACAATTAAGTATTTCTGGTAGTGGTGGCTCTTGTCTGTATTTGTGGTGAAACTACTGCCTAAGACTAAAATGTGTTTATTTCCTGGATGTCAGATTTTTGAATATATTGGCCTATGCGATTTTGTTTTATGTAATATTATTCAATACTCCACCATCTGCATTTGCTAAGTAGCTTTTAGCAGGGTCATTCACTCAGAATGCATTTTTTCATTCCACTGTGGTACTTTTTCATTGTATTTCAATGTAAACGCGCTATGGATATCTTTGAATGCTGCACTCAACTCAGGTCTTTATAGCAGCTTCTCGCGCATGATCATTCTGAAACACGACGCTAAAGTTCAAAGAAGTTCAGCCTTTAGACCTTGCGCTTTTTAAATTCTGCCTGTGTCTTGCGTTTTTAACAAGCAAAACACTACCTGTGTGAACCCAGTGTTCTAATAGTTGTAGTAGTAGTGGGCAGGTGTGCTTAAGGTCCGACAAATATGTGAATGGGTCACATATGTTTTTTAATTGGGATAGTTTTCTGTGCTATATCATAGCAACCTTTCATAACTTCAGCCGCCCCCTCATCAGTGCTGCACTGGCGCCGGCTCTGGACAAGAGGTCAAACATCTATTGCATTACGGATATAAAGAAAGATCTATAGAATGTAACTATGAAGAAATGCTGGTAGATACTGTAGATAAATTGAAGATTTACTATAATGACCAGGATCAATTTATTTTGTAAAATAAATTAAATGTAAATTCATCTTTTAAGCTATAATCAGTAATGAAATTCCTTGCTAAATATTTTAATGATAAATTATTAATGATTTGTCCTTTTAGCCCTAAGTAGCAAGTAGTTTACTTACTCCTTATTGTGCCTTGTGGACAGGGCAGGGGTAGTGGTGTGCCCTGGGGACAGTAGTGTCCAGGAGGACAAAGCATAGCACTGGGATTTGAGGAGCCAGTGGAGCAGAAGAATCCAGCAAAACAGAGGCCTGCAGGAGTGTGCAGGCCAGTCTGATTACAATAAGAGCCTGAATCACAGGGCTGAGGAAGAGATGAACCCACTGGGCAATATGACCCTGCAGAAAAGATTCAATGAGCTTTAGCAATCAGTAAATAATAATCATAATCTTATACAGATATAGATAAATAGTTCCCCATATTGAAAATTCCATACTTTGAAATAGAGATGTCTGGTTTGTGAACAAATCATCAATGAATGTTAAAAAATCTAAATAACTTCTTAATGAATGACTGTCAGACCTGTGTTCCTGTTGTGTTGTGTTTTGCTCCCCATGTGCTCCCTGTTCGAATTCTGGAGAGCGTCCAGCCCCGATCCAGAACCAGCTCTGCGTCAAGCCCGCCGGCCGCTCCACTGTCAAACCCGCCGGCCGATTCACCCCCAAGCCCTATAATGACAGCAGCTATCTCCTTATCCTCAAACCAGAAGAGGAGCATGAGGAGAAAGAGACTGTTATCAATCCGGATCCGCTCCCCCGAGTCCACTCCAGTGTCGGCTCCAGCCCCTGAGTCCTCTCATTTCTTCAAGTTCAGTCCTGCTCCTACACACAGCCCATAAAGGGCTCCTGTTCCCCAGTCCAGCCGGCTCCTGTTCCCACGTCCAGTCCAGAGAGGGCTCCTGTTCCCAAGTTAAGCCCAGAGAGGGCTCCTGCTCCTAAGCCCAGCCCAGAGAGGGCTCCTGTTCCCACGTCCAGCCCAGAGAGGGCTGAAGTTCAGCCTTTAGACCTTGCGCTTTTTAAATTCTGCCTGTGTCTTGCGTTTTTAACAAGCAAAACACTACCTGTGTGAACCCAGTGTTCTAATAGTTGTAGTAGTAGTGGGCAGGTGTGCTTAAGGTCCGACAAATATGTGAATGGGTCACATATGTTTTTTAATTGGGATAGTTTTCTGTGCTATATCATAGCAACCTTTCATAACTTCAGCCGCCCCCTCATCAGTGCTGCACTGGCGCCGGCTCTGGACAAGAGGTCAAACATCTATTGCATTACGGATATAAAGAAAGATCTATAGAATGTAACTATGAAGAAATGCTGGTAGATACTGTAGATAAATTGAAGATTTACTATAATGACCAGGATCAATTTATTTTGTAAAATAAATTAAATGTAAATTCATCTTTTAAGCTATAATCAGTAATGAAATTCCTTGCTAAATATTTTAATGATAAATTATTAATGATTTGTCCTTTTAGCCCTAAGTAGCAAGTAGTTTACTTACTCCTTATTGTGCCTTGTGGACAGGGCAGGGGTAGTGGTGTGCCCTGGGGACAGTAGTGTCCAGGAGGACAAAGCATAGCACTGGGATTTGAGGAGCCAGTGGAGCAGAAGAATCCAGCAAAACAGAGGCCTGCAGGAGTGTGCAGGCCAGTCTGATTACAATAAGAGCCTGAATCACAGGGCTGAGGAAGAGATGAACCCACTGGGCAATATGACCCTGCAGAAAAGATTCAATGAGCTTTAGCAATCAGTAAATAATAATCATAATCTTATACAGATATAGATAAATAGTTCCCCATATTGAAAATTCCATA